ATATTGCACTTTACACACCTTGTCGTCTGTCAGTTTATCACAAGTTTATCACACGCACACGCCAAAATTCGCCTACTGCACAGATAACATCAATTCTAAATGCTTCCGAGCGCGTTCTGCCGCTCTTTGCTTTGCAATTTCAAGAGTTTCTCCCGTGCCATGAGTGACTATTGGATTCTTTCCTCTATCTTTATTCCTAGTAAACTTTAATTTCACGAACACTTGATAACATCCCTTTAAACTTTTGTTGGGCATGTTAATGTATTCGATGTCAAAACCATCTTTCTCGCTACAGCTTTCAAGTTTCTGTTCAGCTAGTTCGTCGTATTTTAAATCGTCGGTACTTTCGGTGGAGAAATCCAGTTTTCCCGCAAGCGAGGCACTATCAGAGTCGTTCGTGTTGTAGTCTTCCAAATCGGAGTCGTTCAAAATTTCGGGCGATGAATTACTGTGGTTGCTGTAAGGCGATGGTTGCGACATCGGTGTCTGTAATTAAGAGAAAACACACAATTGTGGAGTCTTCTATCGGCCAATCCTTAGTTATAAGGGTTGCATAACACACAACACCAGCCTAATATATAGTGCAGTCAGTCACGACTCAGTGATCGGAATGTTTCAATGACAATAAATGTTCCGGCGTTACGGAAGTATACACAGAGACGGTGATATGTACTGTAGTGTACCGTGTGTATATAAAAAAAAACCAACTGAACCCTTTCAAATTCATATTAGCTATAACGTATTGTAGTAATTTGACAGCTCTAATTGCTTTGAATCATTAATTCAAGTAAGAACACAAGGTCTTGTACTCACGGGACAAATCTCAAAGAAATAAAAATTAGAATGTTTAAAAGAAATACTGTATTTCTTTTTATTTCTTTGAGTTTTGTCCTATGAGTACAAGACCTTGTGTTCTTACCCAACCGTTAATTCAAAGCAATTAGAGCTGTCAAATATTACAATACTGTACGTTATAGCTAATTTGAATTTAAAAGGTTCAATTTTTTTATACAGTACAGGGTGTATAAAAAAAACGCAACCTCGGAATTTCCTAAGAAATCACTTTACAATTCTTAAGCATAAAAGATTTTAGGCCCCTGGGAATTGAAATCGAATTGCTAATAGATCATATTACTGTTGTTGTGCATTAAATAAATGCATAAATTTTGCTTTATGCACTCGCGTGTGCAGTAATTTTAACAGTTATGCTATTTTAAATTCCCAGGCGCCTAAAATCTTTTGTCTTTAAACAATGTCGATTTCTTGGGAAATTCCGAGGTTGCGCTTTTTTTGATACACCCTGTATACAGGGTTGTAAAAAAGGAGACCTTTAGAAATCAAGCATATTGTTAAAATTCGAATGCCTTTTCAATTGCACATATGCTGAACCGTGGTGCGTGAAATATTGATGGGGTGCATATATTAGAAAAAGGAGACCTTTAGAAATTGAAATAACGTTTAAACAAAAGATCGTCTGCTCCTGGGAACAATCTGCCATGCATACTGTACGTAGATCGCATGTTACGGCACTCGTGGGCTTGGCAAAGTGCTCCAGGATTCAAATTTTAACAATATGCTTGATTTCTAAAGGTCTCCTTCCTTTTCTTGATACACCCTGTATACACACTGTACAGGGTGAGTCAAAAAAACTGACACCTTTGTTATTCATTTGAATAACAATGGTGTCAGTTTTTTTTTACTCACCCTGTATACAGTACAGTATTGTGAGGTTAATCTCGAAAGGGGAAAAATTCACATGGGAAGTTATTTCCCGCTTACCCGGGATCCAATGAAGTGCGACGTATTTTGAGCAATTGAAATAAGTTGCAGTTCATGATCTAACAAAATTGCTTTTTACAAATTGTATGAAATTCCATGTTTTAGACAAAAAAACAAATGTTGTTGAATGCTATTAATCGACTTCTTCCACTAAATGACTTCTAGCGCGTTCCTAATTTCGTTTAAACAATATTTAAAGTTATCCAACTTTTGTTTAGGGCTGAAACACGTATTTCAATTGCTCAAAATACGTCACATTTCAATGAATCCCGGGTAAGCGGGACCATATAAACAGCCCCATAGTTTTGGTATAAAGTTTTTAGTTTTGGTAAGTATCTAGTGTTTTTGTTTAAGTTTTGCTAAGTTTTTAGTTTTTGGTATTTTATGCAGAGCGCAAAACAGTACAAAACTCTTTGAACCATTTTTAATCGAACTGAGTCAACTGATGGAACTAATTTCTACGTCGTTTTAACTTTCAATTAAAATTTTCATGTACTGTATAATTTTCATGTACGATTACAATGCAATCTAAACTCCCAGAGGTTACGAAGTTTGGGTATTTACGAAACCCAGTATTTATTAATTTTATTTTATTAATTAACTATCTATGCGCAAGACTCTAGAAAAAAAGGATGTTCCCTTTCTTTCGAAATCTAGCTTTTAAAGTGGCACTGTCATCAAATATTTTCTTGTCTCAAACGAAAGAACTCCTAAAACTGTAAAGTAACTTCTTTTGAAAAAATTGGTTCCCATGGTTTGTTCTTGAGATACATGTATTTCATTTTGTTTGAAACCACGTGACGTCATTTACTCAATTGCATATACAATACATATATAATGTGGTATATCAGTAAATGTTGGTATTTTTGACGGATTCAAAAAGGGTATGCTCAACGATGTAGGTTAATTTAACAAACGCGCCGCATCTTTGGAAATATTTTGATAAAAAATAGCAAAGATACACAACAATTACAACTGATATCTCTCATTATTAATTACTGACATCTCATATTAGTATAAACCTACTAGTAGGCTATCACATTTCGTGCCTTCTGATTGGCTACGCTACTAGTAGGCTATTAGTGATAGCCTACTAATAGAAAATTCAAAATGGCGGAAAATTCGCGTTTTGCACTTTTGCCGAAGTGTCTGATGATTTTTTTGGACGACTTGTTGAACAATTCTGTACTAAAAAACCCCGAAAAAGCAACAAAAATATGGAATGGCAATTTTTAAGGGTAAGAAAATAGACAGAATAACATACACTCAATGAAATTTTAAAATTAAAACTGAATTTTGTAAAACATTTTACGCGAACAAAAACTAAAATATTTGTTTACCTTTAATGGTTTTATAATGTTTTTTTTGTGTATTTTTGTATTGTGTTTGCAGCCTAGTTGTAAATTAATGTTAAAGTTTATACTAAAACAATTAGAAAACTCGGCCTCGTTGTCTATGAGCAAATAGTCAACTCGGCTTCGCCTCGTTGACTATTCGCTCATAGACAACTCGGCCTCGTTGTCTAACTGTTAATTATATTAGATTTTATATATTAGATTTTATATATTAGATTTTATATATTAGATTTTATATATTAGATTTTATATATTAGATTTTATATATTAGATATTAGATATTAGATATTACATTGCCAATGCGAATTCATTAAGAGATTTCTAGTTTACCTTTGTATTTTCAACGATATTGTCCATGTCAAGACTTTCAGAAGAGTTCATTTTGGTACACAATCTGCGTAAAAACGAAAAAGAAACTTTATGTAACGCTATAGACTGCGATCATGCTGGAAAACTTACACGTCCAATAGCTATGCATCGTGTCAATGGATGATTGGAAAAATTCACTGGGCATTTTATTTGTCCTTTGGACGAATGGATCAATGGACATTTCGGTTTGTTCAATGGACCAATGGACATTGAAGTATCGACAGCAAAACATCCTATATAGACATTGGAAATATCAAACGGACATTTACGTAATTCGACAATACCTGTATATAACCCGAGAAAACACGCGAGAAAATGAAGGACCCCATGCTCGTTGTTCCACCCAGCAAAGGCAAACAATATCTGAAGTTAGCGTGTGATATCAGGCCTGATATGATATGTCTGCAATGGATAATGCCATTCAGCTTTAGCGATTAAACGAATGGACATTAATATTGTATTATGTAATGTAATCTTCAAATATTATGAAGGGGCTTCAGAACTCCTCTCCCAACTAAAAAACACATTAAGGGGGGTGGTAAGAGTCCACTACACCGTATTATAACTGTTAATGGAAAAATGACATTCATAAAGTTCTGCCTCGTACCCAGGCGTCTTTTTGTAAAAAAACAGTGATGGGCATATGACGAGTTTACATGAAGTATTGTAGTGGAGAGAGATGGGCGAAGGGGCTAATGGGAAGAGTGCACTTGAAATGCGAGACGCCTGGCAGTTTTTGGTCGATTTCTTGCAACAAAGTACGATTTCTTGCAAGTTGTGATATTTCGTTGTCATTTACGATTTTTTGCTACTTGTTTTTGTTGAATTGACGAATGTTAATATTCTTCTGTCATCTGGGCGTTATTATATATGCTGTTATTCTTGGTATATATGACATATAATTTGTTTTCTTGCACTTCACTTGGTGGAATGAGAGGACCTTGTGCTGCATTTTTCGCAATAGTTTCTGGTCAGGTCATAAAATGTATATATACTCACTTGGATTACAAACCCTAACATTCTAATATATGACATATGCCTGATTTAAAGTGCTGGAATATTAACATGTTAACATGTCAACAACCGAAGTGTTGAAGAACTAGACTTGCAGGAACTAGATTTGTAAGCTATAACTACTAGTAAAGGTACAAACTATAAAATTGCACTGTTGTAACAAATATTTCAAACTTTACGGCTGTGAACTTTTATTTACTTGGGCTTTTGTTTATAGTATACATTTAATAGAAATTGCCATTGGCATTGTGATCGACTGATCGAGCCTTCTGCTAAAGAAGTTATTAATACAAAAGCAACTAGAGGGCACTCAGAGACTGCATACCTCCGCCCGTTACTCGGAAGTGAAACGCAACCTTGGAATTTCCTAAGAAATCCACTTTATAATTCTTAAGCATAAAAGATTTCAGGCCCCCGCGAATTGAAATCGAATTGCTAATAGAACATATTACTGTTGTTGTACTGTACAGGGTGTCTCAAAAAAACCCAAAATCATTGAAATTGACGTATTGTTCGATATTCAATGCCCTAGCACTAAGTTAATCCCACGAGTGCATAAAAGATGGACATAACTGCTATAATGAATGGTAATACTCAGCGTAAACTTGTTATGTCAGGCATAAAGTACTAAACCCACGAATGCATATTACGCATATTACAATTTACGAAGCATTTTTAAATTCCCATGAGCAAACAAACGTTCACTTTACAAAGATATTTTAATTTTTTAAAACAAATTAATCACCCTGTCAAAATCCTTTGTGTTACGGCATTGAAATTCGAACAATACGTTATTTCAATGATTTTGGGTTTTTTTGAGACACCCTGTACAGTACTTGTAAAGTAAAAACTTATTAAGTGTCATTAAATAAATGCATAAATTTTGCTTTATGCACTCGCGCGTGCAGTAATTTTCACAGTTGTGCTATTTTAAATTCCCAGGCAGCTAAATCTTTTGTCTTTAAAACAATGTCGATTTCTTGGGAAATTCCGAGGTTGCGTTTTTTTATACACCCTGTATTGAAGTAATCTAATGTTGTTAGAATTTGAATGGACTGGCACTTTGCTGAACGTAATAATGCGTAACTCCGTAAGCCTTGTTTTAGACATTGAATTTCGGTCGCGTGAAATGCAACTAAGACAATAGATAATGAATGCCGAAGCTTAATGAGGTTTATCATCTCATTATTGTCTTAGCACTGAGTGCATAAATTATACACGTCCTAATTACGCATTCAGTAATATTTTTTGTTAATTGACCAGGAAAAGCAAGACAAAATTTTGTTCATTTCTCGTTCAATTTTTAACCAAATTCAACCAAATTTTAATCAGTTCTTCCTTAGCCGATGGGAAATGCATTCAAAAAATTTCGTACGGATATGTTTGGTATTTCTTGAGTTATCGTGCTCACAGACAAACACACACACATACACACACACACACACACACACACACACACACACACACACACACACACACACACACACATACAAACCCAGATGATTACATAACCTCCTGGCGGAGGTAACAAACTAATGAAATAATTGTACTCCTCTCAATCAATCAGCATCCAGTAATTTTGTCATGCTAATAATAAATATAGGTACATGCAAAACTTTAATGAAAGCATTTTCCATTTTCAAGGAAGAATACGAGTAGTTTTAAATATAAATCCTTTTACTTAGATTTAATCAGTTACAGCCATTATGCATATGCAACCTAGGTGCTGTCATACTCTATACAACCCAATAAAAATTTTAAAAAACTCCTGTACGTCCAAAAAGTACACTAGAGATGGATGTAATTTGATTTGGTAGGAGGGGTTGCTGAACAAGTGCTGGTCATAAAGCAGGACTTGACCATCAACTGATGCAGGATGCATCATTATTAAGGGCACCGGACAGGCTCAAGGAGCCAACATGTCGAAACAAAGTTGCCTATATAGTTATAAAGGCTCAATATTGTATTTTTTGTTGGTTAGTTGCCTCAGATTTAACCTAAAATACGCCCCCCCCCCCCAATAACCTCAAGTAAATCCATCCCTGTACTAAAAAAACCCCAAAAAAACCCGCTTCTTTCTCAGGTTTTTTTTTCACAGCTCTGAAATTTTTTATTGATGTCTGTGATGTTAAAATTACAAACTTGACAACCTTGACAACAATCTGATGACAGACTATAAACTGTTTTTCTAATATTCACACAAGAATGGATTGTATCATATTTAATTAACAATCTGTGATTTAATAAATATTCATTTTCATCTTGTTTCATTTCTTGTTTGCTTCAATAGCCTGCAAGAAAAGATCTTCTTGGAAAATCTGATATTATACAAATATATATATATATATATATATATATATATATATATATTACATATATATATATATATATATATATATATATATATATATATATATATATATATATATATATATATATATGTATATATATATATATATATATATATTATTAGCTCTATTATTGCCTTAATTTAATAGTCCTTGGCTACCAACAAAACCTAGCTCTGAATCAAACAGGAGCGTTTTATCTTAAAACTTGAATTGCACTGATTTTATATCAAATTTCATTCGTACGTTGTGGAGTGTGTACATATAGGCCCTTCAAGACCTTCAAATGCATTACACTTCATTTAAGTTGGAGTTATAAGCCGAGAAGGAGGGTTATAACTGATATATTGCCCCCGAGGACGCGCAGCGTCCGAGGGCAATATATGAGTTATAAACCGACTTTCGAAGTTTATAGCTAACTTATTTTTCACCCTGCTCGGTTCCCTTTGTTCTTAGCGGGGAATATATTCAATATTCCACTCTAATCAATTTCCGTTTAATAATCCCCTCTAATATTCACCTGCAATTAATAATCCCCTCTAATATTCACCTGCAATGTCTCTGCAGCACAAAAAATGAGAAAAAAAACAACATAACGAAGGCAATATGGCATTAAGAATTATTTCTATTCTGACTCATTAACGCGACCTCGCAGTGTGAAAAATAAGTACGTTATTTTGAGGCACCTCGGGGATATGTGTTTATTCACCTCGGCGCTGCGCGCCTCGGTGAATAAATCACATATCCCCTCGTTGCCTCAAAATAACCTATACTTAATTGTGTCACGCGGAGAAATGCCTTGTTACCAAACAAGTTAAGAAGAGTAAAGCCGATTATTATCTCGAATTAATTAACAGAAACAAAAGCAATTCTAGTGGACTATGGAAAATACTCAATGAAATTACATCACGTAAATCCACATCGCCAGTCACTTGTATTGAAGCGGACGGCGTAACCTATACGGACTCACAATCCATTGCTGAAGTCCTGAATGATTATTTTTCTTCTATTGGATCGAAACTCGCTGCTAAGATAACTCCTGGTCTAAATTACATCTGGAAAAACCCTTCTTTGACTGTTGATGCTAATCCTGTTAGTGGTTTCAACTTCCAACCTGTAGAAAAAGCGTTTGTCCGTACAGAATTAAATCGGCTAAAGACCAACAAAGCCATAGGACTTGACAAGATTAGCGCGCGTCTTCTAAAGGACTCTGCCTCATTAATAGCACCAGTTTTAACAAAGTTGTTCAATAGGTCATTGGAGTCGTCGAAATTCCCGTCGATCTGGAAATTTGGTAAAGTCACTGCTCTATTTAAATCTGGAGACAGATGCGATTCTGGAAATTATAGACTGATCACTATTCTACCCACGGTCAGCAAAGTCTTAGAGAAGGTTGCACATCACCAAGTTTACAAATACCTTGTGGATGAAAAGATTCTATCGCCAGTGCAATTTGGTTTCAGACCAAATCTATCAACCGAAGTCGCTTTGATACATTTTACTGACTCGATTCTTGATAATATGGACAAAGGCGCTGTCACTGGAGCAGTCTTTTTGCACCTATCAAAGGCCTTTGACACGGTGAACCATTCTATACTATTTTCAAAATTATCGAAGGCTGGATTTACTGATGCCACTATAACATGGTTCAAATCATACCTATATCAGAGAATACAGGTAACAAGAGTGGATAATGCTACCTCTTCTGCAAAGTATGTCTCAGTTGGAGTTCCACAAGGGAGTGTCCTTGTACCACTCCTATTTATCCTTTACGTGAACGACTTGCCGTCTTGTATTAAGAAGTGTAAAGTGACTATGTATGCAGATGACACGGTTCTTTATTTCTCTTCCTCTACGTTGTCGGAACTTGAGGAAAATTTGAATGCTGACCTTGAAATCCTTCGCAGATATTTAAATGACAATCTTTTAACTTTGAACGCTGAGAAAAGCAAATTTGTAATCTTCGGCAGCACGCGTAAACTCAATTCATTCCGTGAGTTTTCATTAGAGATCAACGCACATAACTTGGAACGTAGAGACACCTTCAAATACCTTGGCATTAAACTTAATCAAAATATGTCTTGGTCGGACCAGATTGATGCCCTTAGCAAAAAAGTCAGCCAACGACTTGGAGTTCTGCGTCGTGTTAAGTATTTGCTGCCTCTACATGGTCGTTTGGCGATATATAACAGTCTCATTTTACCGTTATTTGATTATGCAGATATTGTGTGGGGGAACAAGAACAATAAAGTCCTAATGCATAATCTCCAGGTTTTGCAAAATAACGCAGCAAGAACTATACTGGATTATCCCAAATACTTTTCCGGTACCGAAGCCCTCGCACAGCTAAACTGGATGCCTCTATCAGAACGTCGACGCCAACACCGTTGTATTGGTATTTATAAATGTATAAATAAGTATATAAAATATCAATTCAACCTAGTTCAAAACGTTGAAATTCACTCCCACAACACACGCCGCCGTAAGGATTTACATCTCCCACGCTCGCGTACTAACTGGGGAAAACAACGCTATATATATCAAGCAGTCGTTGATTGGAATAACCTTAATTTAGACCAAAGACAATCGAACAATTTGACTTCTTTTAAGAACTCTATATAAGAACTCTATATTAATTTAGACCAAAGACAATCGAACAATTTGACTTCTTTTAAGAACTCTATATACGATTTTATGCTGATATAATTTTAAACATACTTTTTTATATGCTATTATAATGTAGTTTTATTTGTATTTTAGTTGATATCGTAGGACCTGCCTGAAAATCACCTTGTTGTGAGTGTAGCTTCCTACTGAAATATTGTCATAATAATAATAATAATAAAAAATAGCTAAAAGATGCAAAAATATTCAACTTCCTGATTTCTTAGAAATGCAATGTGCCGCAAATTTTATTGTGTGGATGTATGGAATAGCATCCTATCTCAAAGTTTAAAAGCGATTTAGAACCTGGGCAGGTGCCACAAATGAGAATTCTGCAATGTTTAGGACCTATAATTCTCGAATTTGATATCACATGCGTTGAAGTATCTCGATCACAAAAAATTTTTTATTTGCCAGGTGCAACTAAACATGCAGCTATATATTACAGTTTATTAGTAGAAAGAGCACTCTAGTGCAGCTCAGACCCGAAAACGAAGCTCTGATTAGCAGAGAAAATAGAGAAAGCGGACTGTGATTGTAGGCTTCGGCGATTTCAGAAACCGGCATATTTTAATTAACTTGGGTCCTGGGACAAAAACTCGCATAGCGGTTGTAAAAACCACGTTAGAACGATCTTAACTCCAGTTTAGTAGTTAGGATAGATGAGAGTATCGACGGTTGAAATATAAGAGAAATCTACTTTTGAAGCCCAGATCGAGTGGTCCGCTCTTACAGAGACGCCCTCTTAATGAGGTTTATCATGTCATTGTCTTCTTAGTACTGCGTGCATACATTATCAGCATAAGCTCCACCTTTGAATTTACTATATGAGTAAATTCTTAAACACGTCCGAATTTATCATTATGATAAATTCGCGGCAAATTTTGAATTTATCATAATAATAAATTCGCGGCACCTAACACTAACCCTAACCCCAACCCCAACCCTAACCCTAACCTCTAACCCTAACCCCTAACCCCTAACCCTCATTTTTTAAACTTTTTAAATTTTTTTAACTTTTTTAAAAATCTAACTTTTTAAACTTTTTTTGCTTTTCAAAACTCTTTTAAAACTTTTTAAAACTTTTTTAAAAACTATTTTTTAAAAAAACATGAAAAACTTCCCACCCCCGCGCGACCAGCCTTCCTTTTAGTGCCATTACATTTATAACAAGAAACCTTGTGCAATGATTGTGGTTTTATGATTAACTCTATTGATAAATTCAAAATGTGCCGCGAATTTATCATAATGATAAATTCGGACGGGTTTAAGAATTTACTCATATAGTAAATTCAAAGGTGGAGCTCATGTTGTACATTATACACGTCCCAATTACGCATTCAGTGAGCTTTTTAAATTGACCGGTAAAAGCAAGACAAAATTTTGTTCATTTCTCGTTCAATTTTTAACCAAATTCAACCAAATTTTAATCAGTTCTTCCTTAGCCGATGGGAAATGCACTCAAAAAATTTGTTTGAATATGTTTGGTATTTATGATTACATAACCTCCTGGCGGAGGTAACAAAGTACTTGAAGTTACTATTGTAGTCTACAGTGTAGACAGTAGTTAGTTCTGTAAACATTTCTCGCAGTGATAAAGAATTATATAATTGTGAATAATAATCTTGTGAGAGTAGAACTTTATTAAGAGTCTGAGAATTTTAGGCCATAGCCCATCGGTCTGGTCATTTGTTTCTCAATATTTAAACTACAAGTTCAGCAAGATATAATATACAAATAGCCTTCGAAAACATATCTTACATTTATTATAATAATTATAACAAATTATTAAAGTCAACCGCACTACAACCGTTAGATTAAGAACTCATGGGAATCTGCTGAATTGTAACAATAAAATACTTCTAGACATTTTCAAATTCATACATGTACTGTACCTTTTACTTGATGAAAATCATCACAAATCAGTACAATCAGTACACATATTTATAACTCTATCGCCATATTATAGAAAATCAGGATTTTTAGCATTCACTCTCCCTGACTGCCAATGGGAGTTTTAATGATATACAGAAATACTCCCAGATTCTGGGATTCCCGACGCAAATGCATTCCACAGAGGATACATATACAAAGACATGTCACCTCATTGATTTTGCAACACAAGCTCTTGCTATTCATTAAAATTACACAAAGTTTATAGAATTGATATCGGCAACAAGATCGGTAATACAAACTTAGCCCCTCCCCCGGCCCCACTTTTATGCAAAATTTTGTTATCTCCCCAAATCTGGGAGATACGTGACCAGCCTGGACCAAGGTCTTTCCTCCAGGGAGGAGAGTAGTGGAAAGAGCCTGGATACGAGGTTGAACTCCCCGTTCCATGTTTTAAAGATAGTCTGTATGTGACTGATTCGTTTTATTTAATCTATTTATGTGTTTGACTATGTGTCTATTCAAACGTATTACCCTTTCTTTAATAGGCGTTATTAATCGTCTGTCTAGCCGAGACACAGTCCCACATGCAGGGCATTAATTAATTTTATATTTTAAAATGTGAAATGGTCATAAACACGTCCACTGCACATTTTCCATTTGCCCATTGGACAAATGGACATACAGTACAGGGGCCGGTTGTACGAAGGTCGGATAGCGCTATCCACCGGATGGTGATTTTTTCAACCTTTGTAAAATGCTTGAAAAACTGTGAAACTACGGATATGGACGACACAAGAAGTATAAAAAACATTTAACTTTTAATACTAAACTTTAATATGAGTTATACCAATCAACGACTGATTTAACAAAGCTTGAAAAAATTCACTATCCGGTGGATAGCGCTGTCCGACCTTCGTACAACTGGCCCCAGAATATTCAATGCACATTTCAGTTTGTCGGTTACTTCGGGCAACAGTGTCAATCTCGGGGCAACAGGTGTCAATCTCGGGGCCACACAGCACGCTGTTTCCCTCACAATCTCAGTTATAATTAGTAAAGACAATGGCTATTTATTCACCCATTAATTAATTAAATACCTCTTGTTTATAGCCGCCTTTATTTCATTTACTTCCTCCATATTTTCAATCTCAACCTTCAATCCTTCTGTTTTAATTCCAATCTGCGAAAATTCTATCTCCATACGTTCTGTTATTCTTCCAGATTCATAATCTGCTAAAACTTCAAGAAACCTCTTATCCGTAAGACAATGCAGTAGAACATGTAGTGATCCTGGTTTGGTCCCTCCAAATTTTTGGTCATCTGTTTCTCCACCAACAGCTTTTTTAGTGGCGTCAGTAATTAGGTGTTTGTAAGCATTGTAGCAAAAGAAAGAACCAAGTGTGAGCGCTCCAACGCCGAGGAATGTCATCCCACCAATTTTCAATAATCTTTCTGCCACATCTATATTGTCAGTGGTAATGATGAAAGAAATGTCACCACCAAATGGCGATATTTTCCATTTTAAACTACCACTCAGGGCACCCTTTACAGCATCCTGCACCGCTTGTCCAACTTCACTTGATTCGGCCATTACAAAACTTACCCTGAAATTAATTAAAACGATTTTAAAATAATATTAAAGCCCAGAGATTAAAGCCCAGCATATGATTTAGACTAGCCCGCGTGCAGGCCCAAGGAAACTGATAGTGGGCCTGCAAGCAAGGCCCGGTATTTTGTACTTTCCACGTTCGCCCACGAACGCGGCATTCTGATTGGCTGTTTGCTGTTGGATTCTATAATTAGGTCAGTGATTCATCACAAAGGCTCTCGATAAGCTCAAAATTCGAAAATTGATCACTTTTTTCGATTATAAATGGAACAAGACGCCTGCTCAGGCGTTCACACTGGCCTTAGCGGTTGGTAAAACAGTAAAATACCATCGCAATATTCTAAAAAATAGGTACGTAGTGCGTACACGTTGCATGCCATCAAAACCATGAAACCTCACGACTCAGAATATTATACAGAAATCATGGCCATCTCCATTGTTTTCTGTGTACGTGCTATTTGTCATGATTTGTCAGTCGGCAAGTACAGTAAACAGAAGCAGTTACCCCCTGGCACTGAACAAAGATACACAGAAGGTCGATTACAGCATAGTCCAAAACATGGTCTGGAAACTCAGTAAACTTCAAAGCGGTTATAATGAGCTGGGATTTTACGTTGAGCCGTACCTTAAACCATGTACATCCTTTGTTTTAGGTTTATTAATATTTAACTAACATGGTTGAATGACTGAATTGAAACGTCGCTGTTGGATGATTCGTTCATTATACTGAAATACAATGTGTTCATAATTGACTGTGCACCGTGCACAAAACTGCATAAACACAAAACAAAAAGATGGAACAAAGACTTTAGCGGTGTTTCCAAACCATGTTTTGAAAGACTGTAATTAGAGTAAACGCTGCCACGTCCCAACCAGTGCGCACCAAAGAGGCACCCCCCCCCCTCCCGCTGGACGTCTATCATTTTGAATATTATCAGGGGGGTAAATGCCTCCCAAAAGCGCACCAGCCAGGACCATGATGTCAGCATTTTGATGATGAATTACGGTCACGCCAAAATCATTGGAAAACCATAAGAAAAACCAATAAATTGGGCTTCTGTATGACCGACCCTGTGCCCTGGTAATGATGCGCGACCGCTTATAACTTTTGGTACAACTGATCTGAAACTTAAAATATTGATTCAATAAGTTTAAGATCAATATATTGTTTGAAAAATAGCTATTATGTCAAAATTAGAAAACTTAAGATTCTCACGCGAATAAGCAATGTTTTTATAAGCGACTGTTCATCGTTAGTTGCCAACGACGGTAATATAAACAAGGTCAAGGCAGGTCAAGTTTGTATCGAAAGCGATTGACTGTTAGATTTTCTTTTATACTATTTTATAACTAAAAAATGTTATTTCCTACAAATTTAGCTTTATTGTAGCTTTAGTAAAGGTATAAAAAACCTGGAAACGGTGAATTACTATAGATCGAAAATAATTATTAAACTATGATTGAAATTATCGACGTAGAATGCTATATTTCGTTGTATTAAATTTCAATAGTATATAAATAGTAATACATTTGACATCCGTAAGTACGATTTCTTATGCTGAATCGAACGGTGGTATTTTTATCCTTATTGCGCCATTAGACATTACAAATACAAAGACAAACGTAGTGCGAGTGATTTGTTATAAATAACAATACATACTGCGAGCGATTTGTCAATACAATTTCGCTTGATTTTCAAAGGCCATAAATCGCTAGAATACTGGTGTTCAGTAATACACTTGACATCCGTAAGTACAATTTCTTTATACGCTGAACCGTACGGTGTCGCTTTCTTCTCAAAATATAGGAACTGGTTTATAAATCATAGTGAGCATGTGTAATGTGATAGCTAAATTCACTGAGCTATAATATTACAGTAATATTATTATAGCTCAGGGGCTAAATTGCGCAATCCTGAGCCCACGATGCCACAATGGAAAGTCACACTTGCGACAACAAAAAAAAACAAAAACGAAAGAATTCCTCGCATTCCAGCGAGGGCAAATTATGACACTGGCTGCGGCCAGTGTAACAAGAACAGACTGTTTATTGTTTACTTGAAGGAAGAGATGTTTTTGCCGTTATGCCAATGGGGATTGCTTGTCGTGAGGTGTTGGAATAGCAACATTACGACTGGGGTAAACTATAGTAACCTTTACTCGAGTTTCATTAATTTCAGACTTGATACGTTATATGTTTCTCAAGAAAATTATCTTTTGGTTGATGTTGAGATGCAGTTGCATGTAAGCCTATTCGAAACACTTTGCGATTTACAAGGTTTCGCTGAGAGAGCGAAACAGAAGACGGTATTAAATTGCCGTTTGAAACGAAACGATCTGGACTCTGAATGCTCTCTTCTTTTGTAGAGTTCTTTACCAAATGAAATAACTGAAATAAATTTCGTACTTTCCAACGTCAACAAGAATTCGGCACGCACGATCTGATAAGTGAGACAATATATTTATAACAATGCCAATGACGACAGCGAAGCACACGTAATATAAATGCTAATGTGGTCGCACGACTTCCCTCACGATTTGAAGTTTGAGACTGGTTTTCTGTTGAAATTCGTCCTAATTTGCCTGTTCCGATTTTAGTTGAAAATGAGCACTTGCAAATTTGGCAATTACTGACTGCGTTGCAAGCTTTTTTGTTTCGTTCCCCGCAGGAACGAAACGGTACTGTATTTGGTTTCGAGCAATTATCACAGGAAAGTGACGTCAGAGATCAAAGTTATCCAATCCTTTGCCAGTATTCTTGCTCAAACGTCAATTACATTTAGAATCGTCCAATGAGATGACCGCTCCTAGTATAAGAAGTTTTTTGGAGGCGTGTCGTATAATCGGAAATCTTAGTTAATTATATATCAACCTATGAGAACATGCTAACTTAACCTGAAGTTCAGGCCCTAATTTTAAATAGGGCACAAAACCTGTCTAGACCGTGGGACGCTCACATGTTATTTTTAGACACAGCATGCTTGACAAGTGTTATAGATTTTGTTACACAAAAAAATTATATTCTCATTAACATCTCCGCAGAGTGCGCATTTTGCTTTTTAATTAAACTTAAAAATTCAAGGTACTTTTATATAATTAAGAGTCAGTTTCTCTATTTAACCGAACAGCAAACGAAGATTCAATTAGTCAGTTCTGTGTACAGCTTGACTGCCAAGCTTTCTCAAGGTCTCAACTTGCTGGACGCGGATATATACTTTAACGGGCTAATAACAGCAACAATAAAATTCTCAATCGTACCACGAAGAAGGCGATGTAGTTCAGAAAACAACGCAGGTAGGACCTGATATTAAAAATAAGACTTTTGCCGGCGAAGCCAGTTGGCAGAACATCTTGGCTGTCAATAACAAACTTTCGAATAGATGACTAGTTTAGTTTGGCTGTTCTTTCAGCGTCGTGTGTCCAAAATTCGTCAAAGATTTTGATAAAGACCTTCAAAATACTATTTGTTTGATTTATTTTCTGCCATAAAGCATATAAAAGAAAAGAAA